CCAACTTCATGGGCGGCAAGAGTGAGCTGGAGAACGCCTTCAGCGAGATGGACACGGATCAGCTCAGAAGAGGTCTCCTTCGTCACGACTGCGAGATGACAAAGTTTGAGATGAACGTCCCTCACGCCAGCCACATGGGGGGCGTTTGGGAACGCATGATACGTTCAACACGAGCAGCGCTGGATGGCGTTCTGAGAGCGCACTGTCAGCAGGGCGGGTTCGATGATGAGCTGCTGAGGACGTTTCTGGCCGAGGCGGAGGCCATAGTGAACTGTCGCCCGCTGACCGTCCTCGATCCTTCCGATTCTTCCGAACCCCAGCCCCTCTGCCCAATGCAACTCTTAACGCTCAAAAGTAGTGTAGTGGCGCCGCCGCCTGGCGCCTTTCGGCGGGAGGACGCCTACTCTAGACGACGCTGGCGGCGAGTGCAGGAGATGGCCGACCAGTTCTGGAGGCGGTGGCGCTCCGACTTCCTGCCGTCTCTACAACAGCGAAAGAAATGGACCCAGATCGAGCCGAACGTGAAGGCCGGAGACGTGGTCCTTATCCTGGATGACAACGCTCCACGCAGCCGGTGGCCTCTGGGTCGCGTGGTGCAGGCACACAGGTCCGCCGATGGGCTCGTGCGGAGGGTCACTCTGCTCTCTGGAGGCAGCACCTACGACCGCCCCATCCACCGGCTGGTGAGACTTATGACCGAGTGAGCCTCCGAGAACGGGACACGTGGAGCCAGGCCGGCTTCTCATCCTGGCAGTCGGTGACCCGAGTGGCGGCGATGTATGGCCGAGCTCTGGTGCGAGCTACCGTGACAGCGCCGTGACGCTGGCACTGTGACTGACGGTGTCAAATGTGTTGAGTCTGTGCTACCGGTGAATAGCAGTACCGCACGGTCTGGGAACCGGTGAGCGTCAGCAGAGCGGAGTGGACTACTACCCCGCAGTCGCCTGTGAGATGCAGTGACCTGCGGACATTTGTGTCGGCCTTAGTGTGCCGCCAATTGAGCTCGGTGAACCGCATAGCTATGTTAGTTGTAAGTTAAGGTAGCCTTGAGCTACATGAAGCCATGAGCTACAGGGAGCCATGAGCTACAGGGAGCCATGAGCTACAGGGAGCCATGAGTTGCAGGGAGCTAAAATCAAAGGGAGCCACGCTTGTGTTGAGTTTGTTGAATGTAACATAGCGGTGAATGCTGGAAGTTACCTCTTTGCTTGCCGCACCCTGTCTCGCTTCCATTGTTTGCCGTGCATGGTCGCATTGAACTAGTCTGCCACTTGTTTGATATGTGGTAAATTTGGTAAATTTAAGGGAGCCATGTGACCGCGGGTAGCCGAAAGTGAAAGTGTACGGCCGCCCGCTTGAAAGGGAAAGTGACCACCAGATGGCAGTGGTAGCGTTGTTAGGTGGCGCTAGCATTGCTGGTCCTTGCCTCGGACAGCTGTTGGCTGGAGGCAGCGTCGAATTATTTCGTAGTCTCAACATGCCAACCAATGCCTTCGAATGTGGCGCGTGTTTGTATAGTTTGTACCCACCGCGTGGCACTACCCCGGCTCTTCAGACTATGCGCTGCGGGCGTCCCGCTACAACGTAAGTTAAAAGTGAAATGAAATGTGGAAATGGTGTGATTGTTCATTGTATGTTATCGTGTGATATCTTTGGTTCGGTTATTTATTATGTTTATGGTCTTTTTCAGTATTACGGCATAATACAGCACAGGAGAGAAAAGGCGGATTGTAGTCTAACAGTAGCTGTTACACTCCGGGCAGTCGGTGGTGTCTGGTCAGGGCTACACTCGGGGCAGTCGGTGGTGTCTGGTCAGGGCTACACTCGGGACAGTCGGTGGTGTCTGGTCAGGGCTACACTCGGGGCAGTCGGTGGTGTCTGGTTAGGGCTACACTCGGGGCAGTCGGTGGTGTCTGGTCAGGGCTACACTCGGGGCAGTCGGTGGTGTCTGGTCAGGGCTACACTCGGGGCAGTCGCTGGTGTCTGGTCAGGGCTACACTCGGGGCAGTCGCTGGTGTCTGGTCAGGGCTACACTCGGGGCAGTCGGTGGTGTCTGGTCAGGGCTACACTCGGGGCAGTCGGTGGTGTCTGGTCAGGGCTACACTCGGGGCAGTCGGTGGTGTCTGACTCTGGTCAGGGCTACACTCGGGGCAGTCGGTGGTTTCTGGTCAGGGCTACACTCGGGGCAGTCGGGTGTCTGGTCAGGGCTACACTCGGGGCAGTTGGTGGTGTCTGGTCAGGGCTACACTCGGGGCAGTCGGTGGTGTCTGGTCAGGGCTACACTCGGGGCAGTCGGTGGTGTCTGGTCAGGGCTACACTCGGGGCAGTCGGTGGTGTCTGGTCAGGGCTACACTCGGGGCAGTCGCTGGTGTCTGGTCAGGGCTACACTCGGGGCAGTCGGTGGTGTCTGGTCAGGGCTACACTCGGGGGCAGTCGGTGGTGTCTGGTCAGGGCTACACTCGGGGCAGTCGGTGGTGTCTGGTCAGGGCTACACTCGGGGCAGTCGGTGGTGTCTGGTTAGGGCTACACTCGGGGCAGTCGGTGGTGTCTGACTAGTGGTCAGGGCTACACACGCGGAGCGGCTCTAGGCAGTCGGTGGTGACTTTATGGGTTGTTTATGGGTTGTTTTAGTGTCTGAAGTGAGTGGTTCGTGGCAGCAAAGTGGGAGAGAGTGGGGCAAAGCGGCCACCTTAGCCCTCGCCGGCACAGGGGGTTGATGCAACCCCCTAAGGTTTTACACGAATAACTCGCGCAAAAAGCGACCGATTGCGACAAAACTTTCATTGCCCTCGCATTGATCAGTGTTGCACCGACCCTGAAACTTTCATGACCCTGACCAAAATGACCTTTGACCTGTGACCTACTTTCGAGACCATGTTTGGACGGAATCGCGATTCGGCGTATGTCGGCTCGCATTAGCCGCGCGTTTGCAAGCTTTTCATGGTTTCAAACGTTCAAACATGTGATTTGATGTTGCTTCCATGCATAAGGGTGGGTGTCAAGGTCACCTGAAGGTCAGGTTAGGTCATTGACCTTTGGTGACCTCGGTTCACTTTTTCGAGTTTTACATGATTCTAGGCTAGTTTTTGGAGCTGAATTCGAATTTAGCAACCATTTGAACATTTACGAAGTAGTTTTGGTGTTTTCGTAACATGTTACGAAGCTGTCAGAGGCGGATGACAGGTACTACGAATACCCGTCACGACCCCTACCGGTTGAACTGACCTGACCTGACCCGACCTGGTCTAAACGCTTAACGACATCATCTGTGATCAAAACTAACACGATATTCGTGATCAGCACCCAGGAAAACCCCGTAACCCTCGCCCGCACATGCCATTTTCCCATCCTAGAACGCACATGGGGGTTGCCATCCCCCGCGCCATTTCGTTCCTGTTGGAGATAGAGCTTCGCGGTAAAGACCAAAAAGATTCTTTGGGAAGAAACGAATCCAATGATACCCAGTTTTACCTTCTCAGGTCAGTCATTGACTTTCCAGGTCAGGTCAAACTAAAAAAATGTTGCTGTTTTGGGTCACCATTGGATATCAAGTGCGCTGCTTATCATATACCGATGACGATGCCGTTTTCTGGTGCCAAGCCAGCTAGAACCTCTTTGTCACACTACCCGACCAGGTTTTTGCTGCTGAGGTCATTTCAGGTCAAGTTGGGTCACGGTCAATGATATGTGTTGAGTCAATGAGTCCTCTCCGTGGCCTAGTGGATAAGGCGTTCGTCTCCTAACTCGGTGGCAGCGAGTTCGCGGCCGGGAAGCTCCATGTCGTTTGACCCGCGTTCCTATATTAAGCCAGCTGGCAACTGGCGAGAGAGGGCCACGCTAGATCCGGGAGGACCGTGCCGCCATCTACCCGCGGCACGTTAACCAGGAGCCTGCCACTAATAGGGTTAAACTTTCGATCCCAATAATCACCGGTGAACCGGGCGCGGGCAAGGTGGGGTGGTGGGTCCGTGGTGTCATTCGCAACAAGCACTGCTTAGCGGGGCACCCGGGCCCATAGCCACCCATTCATCCATTCGGACAATATTTCTAAAAAAAATGTGTTTGTATGTCTGTGTGTATAGGTACTGATGTGTGCACCGATTGTTTATGTGTCCATATTACATGAAATCATGATCTGAGAAGCTTTTACCAAAAATGCAGTCAAAAAACTTCACGAAAAGTAAATTCAGCTTGCCTAAAACGCAATTATTTTAGATGACCTAGGTTGACCTTGACCCTGACCTTGACATCTGTACATCGTCGAACAGCATGTTCCATGATAGACTGGGGGTAAGACTGGCAAAAAAGGCCGAAATCAAGGTGTCAAAAGCTCACAATTGGCCCATAGCCAACGCAAGATGTTGAGAATTGGTCATTTGGGTCATGACATGACCTGAAAAATATCTAAAATATTGGTCATATCTCCGAAACCAAAAACCACAGAAACTTGAAATTTTGAATGATATTGAGGGTTTCTGTGAAAATGAGCCCCATTATTATTAAAAGATATGCAAGTAATAGCCTTTGGCTCATTGTATAATAGACAAAAGAAATGGAAAAGAACATATGTGCGATATTTCGTGTTCGACACTTTTTCATGCACTGATGAGGAGGGATATTCTTTATCAGAGGAGGGATATTCAACTGCGCCCGTTTTGTGTGTTTGCTTGTCAACAAAAATATTATCTTTTTTTAACATCAGTGCATGAAAAAGTGTCGAACACGAAATATCGCACATATATTCTTTTCCATTTCTTTTGTCTATTATACAATGAGCCAAAGGCTATTACTTGCTTATCTTTTAATAATAATGGGGCTCATTTTCACAGAAACCCTCAACATCATTCAACATGAACTTCCAGCTCCTAGCCAAAGAGAGGGACTAATCTTACTTCTTAAAAACGCAGAAAAACAAGCAAAAACTGACGAGCGCATTTTATACTCGAAACTTGAAATTGTCAGTGGACATCAAGAAAGGATAGAGGATCGGCAGTGCCTACCTCCTTGTCGGCACGCTGGCTGGGCCGATGGTCCGCCTCCTCGCCGGTCGGCTGCCGCCGCTCGGCGCCTCCCGGCTCCGTCGTCTGCGGCATCGGAGAGACGAGCGCCACACTGGCGGCGGCTGCCGGCCGGCCGCGCCGCGGCAGCTGCACCAGCGGCTTCGGCTGCGCGGTGGCGGCCGGCTGCGGTATGGCGCTGGTGGTGGGGCCGCTGCAGCCGCTGGCCAGGCTGGACTGGCTGCCGGCCAGGCTGCGCCGCTGGGCGCCGCCGCCGGAGCGCTGCTGCGGCGCCGGCAGCTGGGAGCGCTGGCCGCCGCGCCGCGACAGCGAGCCGCAGTCCGCGGCCGCCGGGCCGCTGCAACAGCCGGACACGGCCCCCGGTCAGTCAGCGAGCCGCGCCGCTCAGCCACACCGCAGCCACTGCACTGACAAGTGAATGGGGCTCAGCCATCCACCGCCACCAGCACTGTCCGTAGCAGTCCTGTCCCACGGTTACTGTCGGTATCAATCCTATCAGTCCCGCCGTCCCTGTCACTGTCGGTGACAGTACAGTCCCACTCTCCCAGTTACTGTCCCAGTACAGTCCCACTCTCCCAGTTACTGTCGCAGTACAGTCCCACTCTCCCAGTTACTGTCCCAGTGCAGTCCCACTCTCCCAGTTACTGTCCCAGTACAGCCCCGCTGTCACAGTCACTGTCCCAGTACAGCCCCGCTGTCCCAGTTACTGTCCCAATACAGTCCCACTCTCCCAGTTACTGTCCCTGCACAGCCCCGCTGTCCCAGTCACTGTCCCAGTACAGTCCCACTCTCCCAATTACTGTCCCAATACAGTCCCACTCTCCCAGTTACTGTCCCAGTACAGCCCCGCTGTCCCAGTCACTGTCGCAGTACAGTCCCACTCTCCCAGTTACTGTCCCAGTACAGTCCCACTCTCCCAGTTACTGTCCCGGTACAGTCCCACTCTCCTAGTTACTGTCCCAATACAGTCCCACTCTCCCAGTTACTGTCCCAGTACAGCCCCGCTGTCCCAGTCACTGTCCCAGTACAGTCCCACTCTCCCAGTTACTGTCCCAGTACAGTCCCACTCTCCCAGTTACTGTCCCGGTACAGTCCCACTCTCCCAGTTACTGTCCCAGTGCAGTCCCACTGTCCCAGTTACTGTCCCAGTACAGCCCCGCTGTCCCAGTCACTGTCCCAGTACAGCCCCGCTGTCCCAGTTACTGTCCCAATACAGTCCCACTCTCCCAGTTACTGTCCCTGCACAGCCCCGCTGTCCCAGTTACTGTCCCAGTACAGTCCCGCTGTCCCAGTCACTGTCCAAGTACAGCCCCGCTGTCCCAGTTACTGTCCCAGTACAGTCCCACTCTCCCAGTTACTGTCCCAGTACAGTCCCACTCTCCCAGTTACTGTCGCAGTACAGTCCCACTCTCCCAGTTACTGTCCCAGTACAGTCCCACTCTCATAGTTACTGTCCCTGCACAGCCCCGCTGTCCCAGTCACTGTCCCAGTACAGTCCCACTCTCCCAGTTACTGTCCCAATACAGTCCCACTCTCCCAGTTACTGTCCCAGTACAGCCCCGCTGTCCCAGTCACTGTCCCAGTACAGTCCCACTCTCCCAGTTACTGTCCCGGTACAGTCCCACTCTCCCAGTTACTGTCCCAATACAGTCCCACTCTCCCAGTTACTGTCCCAGTACAGCCCCGCTGTCCCAGTCACTGTCCCAGTACAGTCCCACTCTCCCAGCTACTGTCCCAGTACAGTCCCACTCTCCCAGTTACTGTCCCGGTACAGTCCCACTCTCCCAGTTACTGTCCCAGTGCAGTCCCACTGTCCCAGTTACTGTCCCAGTACAGCCCCGCTGTCCCAGTCACTGTCCCAGTACAGCCCCGCTGTCCCAGTTACTGTCCCAATACAGTCCCACTCTCCCAGTTACTGTCCCTGCACAGCCCCGCTGTCCCAGTTACTGTCCCAGTACAGTCCCGCTGTCCCAGTCACTGTCCAAGTACAGCCCCGCTGTCCCAGTTACTGTCCCAGTACAGTCCCACTCTCCCAGTTACTGTCCCAGTACAGTCCCACTCTCCCAGTTACTGTTGCAGTACAGTCCCACTCTCCCAGTTACTGTCCCAGTGCAGTCCCACTCTCCAAGTTACTGTCCCAATACAGTCCCACTCTCCCAGTTACTGTCCCAGTACAGCCCCGCTGTCCCAGTTACTGTCCCAGTACAGACCCACTCTCCCAGTTACTGTCCCAGTACAGTCCCACTGTCCCAGTCACTGTCCCAATACAGTCCCACTCTCCCAATTACTGTCCCAGTACAGTCCCACTCTCCCAGTTACTGTCCCAGTACAGCCCCGCTGTCCCAGTTACTGTCCCAGTACAGCCCCGCTGTCACAGTCACTGTCCCAGTACAGCCCCGCTGTCCCAGTTACTGTCCCAATACAGTCCCACTCTCCCAGTTACTGTCCCTGCACAGCCCCGCTGTCCCAGTCACTGTCCCAGTACAGTCCCACTCTCCCAGTTACTGTCCCAATACAGTCCCACTCTCCCAGTTACTGTCCCAGTACAGCCCCGCTGTCTCAGTCACTGTCCCAGTGCAGTCCCACTCTCCCAGTTACTGTCCCAGTACAGCCCCGCTGTCACAGTCACTGTCCCAGTACAGCCCCGCTGTCCCAGTTACTGTCCCAATACAGTCCCACTCTCCCAGTTACTGTCCCTGCACAGCCCCGCTGTCCCAGTCACTGTCCCAGTACAGTCCCACTCTCCCAGTTACTGTCCCTGCACAGCCCCGCTGTCCCAGTTACTGTCCCAGTACAGTCCCGCTGTCCCAGTCACTGTCCAAGTACAGCCCCGCTGTCCCAGTTACTGTCCCAGTACAGTCCCACTCCCAGTTACTGTCCCAGTACAGTCCCACTCTCCCAGTTACTGTCGCAGTACAGTCCCACTCTCCCAGTTACTGTCCCAGTGCAGTCCCACTCTCCCAGTTACTGTCCCAATACAGTCCCACTCTCCCAGTACAGCCCCGCTGTCCCAGTTACTGTCCCAGTACAGACCCACTCTCCCAGTTACTGTCCCAGTACAGTCCCACTGTCCCAGTCACTGTCCCAATACAGTCCCACTCTCCCAATTACTGTCCCAGTACAGTCCCACTCTCCCAGTTACTGTCCAAGTACAGCCCCGCTGTCCCAGTCACTGTCCCAGTACAGTCCCACTCTCCCAGTTACTGTCCCAGTACAGTCCCACTCTCCCAGTTACTGTCCCGGTACAGTCCCACTCTCCCAGTTACTGTCCCAGTACAGTCCCACTCTCCCAGTTACTGTCCCAGTACAGCCCCGCTGTCCCAGTTACTGTCCCAGTACAGTCCCACTCTCCCAGTTACTGTCCCAGTACAGTCCCACTCTCCCAGTTACTGTCCCAGTACAGTCCCACTCTCCCAGTTACTGTCCCAGTACAGCCCCGCTGTCCCAGTTATTGTCCCAGTACAGTCCCACTCTCCCAGTTACTGTCCCAGTACAGTGCCACTGTCCCAGTTACTGTCCCGGTACAGTGCCACTGTCCCAGTTACTGTCCCAGTAGAGTCCCACTCTCCAAATTGTGTGCTTTGTTTTGTTATTACGGAGCGAGCGAAGCGAGCGGAGTCTTACGTAGAATAACGGAAATTTCTGAGTATGAGCGGCCGGCCGGCCGGCCGGCCGTGGTCACGATTCTGCGAGGCTTATATCTCAGCAACCACTTGACCGATTTACATGCGGTAATTTTTGTAGGGTAGCTTCATTCCTTCTACCAAGTATTGGACTATTCCCGGTGCATGTGGGCGGCCCCTTATGCACGTGCCACGTGCAAAACGAAGAGGTGTCACTTTTGTAATTGTTGCAATATCTCGGTAACTACTTGGCCGATTGCGCTGAAAGTTGGCATGTAGGTAGGCACCCACTAGGCAATGCATATCCATGTGCCAGAGTTGGGGTGCTGCTGCACGTGCGCACGTGCAGGGGTCGATTCCAGATCTCGAGAACGGCTGGACCGATGGCACTCAAATTTGGCACATGGTTAGGGACCGGTTAGTAAGGTGCCGTGCAAAAGTCAGTTGGGACCCATTTTGCACGTGCGCACGTGCAGGGTGCCGCTTCCAGATCTCGAGAACGGCTGGGCCGATTGTGCTCAAATTTGGCACATCGCTAGAGACCGCTTAGTAGGGTGCCGTGCACAAGTCAGATGGAGGTACCCCCTCGAAATTTCGCACGTGCAAGGCTCACCCTCTCGCTCGCTCCGTTAGTCGCCCCAAAAGGCGTTATACTGGTGTTGTATGCTTGCTTACTCTATGTTATCATTTATCTGCAATCTTATTTGCTTGTTGTTACTTCTCTGTTGGAAGGGCGCTTTAATTTAAGCTTTGCTTTTGCGCCTATCCACTATTTTGTTGTTTCTTTTTATGTTTTGGAGAGAATAAAATAAACTGAACTGAACTGAAATGAACTGTCCCAGCACAGTCCCACTCTCCCAGTTACTGTCCTAGTACAGTCCCACTCTCCCAGTTACTGTCCCAGTACAGTCCCACTCCCAATTACTGTCCCAGTACAGTCCCACTCTCCCAGTTACTGTCCCAGTACAGTCCCACTCTCCCAGTTACTGTCCCAGTACAGTCCCACTCTCCCAGTTACTGTCCCAGTACAGTCCCACTCTCCCAATTACTGTCCCAGTACAGCCCCGCTGTCCCAGTCACTGTCCCAGTACAGTCCCATTGTCCCAGTTACTGTCCCAGTACAGTCCCACTCTCCCAGTTACTCCCCCAGTTACTGTCCCAGTCACTGTCCCAGTACAGTCCCACTCTCCCAGTTACTGTCCCAGTACAGTCCCACTCTCCCAGTTACTGTCCCAGTACAGCCCCGCTGTCCCAGTTACTGTCCCAGTACAGACCCACTCTCCCAGTTACTGTCCCAGTACAGTCCCACTCTCCCAGTTACTGTCCCAGTACAGTCCCACTCTCCCAGTTACTGTCCCAGTACAGTCCCACTCTCCCAGTTACTGTCCCAGTACAGCCCCGCTGTCCCAGTTACTGTCCCAGTACAGTCCCACTCTCCCAGTTACTGTCCCAATACAGTCCCACTCTCCCAGTTACTGTCCCAGTACAGTCCCACTCTCCCAGTTACTGTCCCAGTACAGTCCCACTCTCCCAGTTACTGTCGCAGTACAGTCCCACTCTCCCAGTTACTGTCCCAGTAGGTACAGCCCCGCTGCCCTAGTTACTGTAAATGACCCTACTGTCGGTGCGAGCGAGTTTAGCGAGTGTCATTTGAGCGAACGTCATTTGAGCGAACTATTTTCAGCGACTGGCAATTCAGCAAATATCAATTTACGCGATTATCAAATATAGCGATTATCCGGGAAGGATGAAAAGCATGCTTAACCCGCGCCCCGCTGGGCTATTCAGCCATACGCGCCCTGCTGGGGGGGGGGGGGTGCAGATTCTGCCCCCCCCCCTGTCTAACTTCCGAACAGATGTTCGTAGAAAGACGGGGAAAACGGCAATCGAAAGCTCTCAACAAGGCGGATCTTAAGAGTCTATTTTTTTTGCTTAAGTAGGTCAGAGGTCAGGTCAAGGTCAGGTCAACTTCAAGGGTACAAAATGCAAGTTTCTACAGTATCGGCCTTGCACCGTAGTTGCCGAAGAATGGACTGAGACTGATTGCCCAAAACGTGTTCTTAGGCTACCAAGACAATATTCGTTGCATACGATATCATTCAAAGGTCAAGGTCAAGGTCAGGTCAGGTCAGGTCACCAAAAACAAAATATAGAAAAGGGCATGTGCGACACATGTTTTATGGGTCATTCTATTCATAGAATTCAATAGGCACACTCAATAAGTGATATGGACCACCTCTGAATAGTCACTGTCGGTGGCGGTACCGTCTCACTGTTACTGTGGGCACAGTACTGATTCAGCAGTGTGGTGAGAGCCGCCACTGTATGTACTCACGCGCAGGACGTGTCAGCAGTGTTGACGGTGGAGGTCGTGTCCGATACCTCCGAGCGGCCAGAGCTGAGCCCACTCGAACTGGATGTCCGCTGCATTACGGTGCCGCCTGTCGGCAGCACAAAGCACCCCCGGCTCAGTATTGCCGCAGTTGCAAATTCAATATCGCAGTGTTGAACAGCCCGTGCCCGGTAGCTTAGGGGGGGGGAGGGGCGAAACGGCCCCATTATCCTTTTCCGTGGATATCTCCTAAACAGCTGCAGATATCGCCACCAATTTTTCAGGAACCCTCCGGGCATCAATTTTACACATTGTGATTAGAAATTTTTCCAGAGGCTATGATAGGTTGGCCACAAATGACGTCAGAATGACGTCATGTTCTGCCATTTTCGACCCAAAAAAGGTTTCGCGAGAAGAGGTGTCAGGCCTACAGCTTTGAAAATACAGAAAAATGATCAAGACATAAAAGGTGTAGAATTGACAGCGCTACAAAACAACCATCTCTGATATTCAGAAACGAATTATTCGACACCAGTAATATGTATATGATCGGTAGCTTTCGGGGGCTGCTGCCTCCTTCATCAGCCTGCTTTTTAAATGCATTAGAGCACAAGACAATACGTTTCAAACATGTCTACCAAAAAGTAAACCGCCACGAGGAAAAGTTGTAACGGTACGTCTCAAGCATAGATGCACAAAACAGTTTGATACATGATAACAAATAATAACACATAATTACGTCGCCATCGTCCGTAACATCCGTAATAAAACATTCGACATTAATCGTGATCCGTGGTCGTAACAATCGAGTTCGCACAATCGGGGTCATGACACATTAATCGATGGTAATCGTTATAGGATCGTAATCGCTACATACTCGCAGGCGCACAAGCTTGCATAAATTCGCTCTGATAGCCACACGCCTATACAACAAAACAATTTTCAACAATCCAAAAGCAAGTGTACCTATTTTTGACAGCTCACTCAGCCTCATCGAAAAGCGCCTTACACACGTAGTGCCAGGCACCTCCCACCCGGGTAAGCTGTTAATGCTATTGTGTCTTTCTACCCTGGAAATGTAAAAACCCTCCTTCACCTTTCGTTTACCCCAGTTCGTTTCATAATCCAAAATTTTAACTTCGTCCCATTTGATAGAGTGCCCTGTCTCTAGCACATGTTTAGATATCCCTGAGTGATCCCGGTTTCCGTTTGCTATAGCTCGTTTGTGTTCCGATTCCCTCGTCCTTAACTTTCTCCCGGTTTCTCCTACATAAATTTTTCCGCACTGACACTTATACTGATAGACCAGCCCAGCCTTCTCCTTCACCCCCAACCTGTCCTTAGGTTTGACGAGTCTAGCACTAAGGGTGGCTGCAGGTCTCGTGCTGACCTTCGCGTAGGGTCGAAGGACGCGCGTTACCTGTTCAGTCACCCCCTGGATGTAAGGGACACTTACATAAGCCCGGTTGTCATCTTCCGCTCCCCTAGCTGTCCGTCCGGAACCCTCCCCCTCCCCCATCCTAAGCCGTTCTTTATTCTTTACCCGCCTCTGAATACGTCGCACCAATCGCTTGGGGTAGTTGTTCTTCTCTAGTGCCCGTTCTATTTTCCGTGTCTCGCGTTCCTCGTCTTCAGGTGTTGTTGTGAGCCGTGATGCCCGTGTGAAAAGTGTCTGTGGGACTGATGCTTTGTGTTGTGTGCTGTGGTGTGACTCAAAGTGAAGGTACTTGTCTGTGTGTGTCGCTTTTCTGAACACTTCGGTCTTCATGGTCCCCCCTCCCAGCCTATGTACCCTTACATCCAAAAACGGTAGCGACCCCTCCCTCTACTCTTCGAACGTGAACTCAATCCTCTCATGCTGAGCGTTGAGGTGGTAATCGTTACGATGGTAATCGTTACGATCCTATAACGATTACCATCGATTAATGTGTCATGACCCCGATTGTGCGAACTCGATTGTTACGACCACGGATCACGATTAATGTCGAATGTTTTATTACGGATGTTACGGACGATGGCGACGTAATTATGTGTTATTATTTGTTATCATGTATCAAACTGTTTTGTGCATCTATGCTTGAGACGTACCGTTACAACTTTTCCTCGTGGCGGTTTACTCGAGGGCAGCGCTTTTCGAGGAGCGCTGTGGCCCGAAGGTTTGAACTTTGAATTGTGAAAAACGCCCGCCCGCCGCAAAACGCAAACACCGCAAAACGCTCACAACGCACGCCCGAAACGCCAACGCAAAGGTCGCAAAAAATAAACAAACGCCCGCCCGCCGCAAACCCCAAATAAAAAAAGCGCAAAAACGCCGCAAAACAATAAAACCGCCCGCATCGCACGCCCGCTAACCGCCAACCGAAAACGCCTAAAAATCGCCCGCCCGCCCGCCGCCAAAAGCAAACACCGCAAAAAAACGAAAAAGCGGCCGCCAACCGCAAACAAATTTAACACCGCAAACGACGCAAAAAAAAGAAAACCGCCCGCATCACCCGCCCGCCCGCCCGCCGCCAAAGACAAACACCGCAAAAAAACACAAAACGCCCGCCCGCCGCAAAACGTAAACACCGCAAAACGTGCAAAACGCACGCCCGAAGCGCCAACGCAAACTGCGAAAAAAAAATCACCCCACCGCCGCAAACCACAAAAAACGCCGAAACGCCGAAAGAAATAAAACCGCCCGCACCGCACCGACGATAACTGCTAACCGAAAACGACTAAAAGTCGCCAGCCAGCCGTCAAACGCAAACACCGCAAATAAGCACCCAGCCGCAGCAAGATAATAATTTATCAAAGACTGGCATACCGCTATGTTGGTCATTTTCACAAATCAAAAAGATATCTGCAAAAATATCCTAGATGAAAGCGCCCGATTAAAAAACGGATGGCACGTGCGTGTTCCTCGCCCCCAACTTCCTTCAGGTCAATCGTCATTTGGGTCAACTAACGCATTGACGACCGGCTGGGTGGAATGAGCATTGCGCCAAGAAACGTAAGTATATTGTCAAAAAGAATCCCCAGAATGGTGGATCCCAAAAGTTTGAAACTACCACTTTGACCCACTGGACGACACCTTAAACAGTTGCCGACCGGATGACATCCATTGTTTGGTCACCCACGCCATAGTATGCATCATGGGTGCGCCGAAATGACCAAAAGTCCCAATTTCCGGTGTGCAGGGTCATTTTCAACGGCACGTGGCACGTGGTTCTGGACTTTTCCGGCCACTTTGCGACATACCCATGGGTAGTGCACCGAATGGTGGTTCATCCGCATGGAAGAAAATGGGGGGTCGTTTGGATCGTTTTCGAGCAATCTGCCGTGGAACGCATTTTTTCATTTTGCCCATTGGCTTAACACGGGAATTTTCAAAGTCACGTGGCACGTGCACCAGATTGTCCGCCAAGGGGAGACCCATACCGGAACGTAGATCACCTGGCCCACTAGAAATCCTGAAAAAATCAGAATTTTTGGAACAGCCGTTTTCTCGAGCATCAAGTTGTACTGATCTCAGGCAGCTTTTGCCAAATTGTCAGGGAACTCAGATTTGTTTTTCAATAGAAAAACACAATTCTAACGAATAGTGTTTGTCTTTTCAAACAACCTGCGGTTACTTTTTGGTAGACATGTTTGAAACGTATTGTCTTGTGCTCTAATGCATTTAAAAAGCAGGCTGATGAAGGAGGCAGCAGCCCCCGAAAGCTACCGATCATATACATATTACTGGTGTCGAATAATTCGTTTCTGAATATTTACCATGTCCCAGTACAACAATTCCATATTTAAAACCATCTCTGATTTGTCAAATTCGCCGATTTTGTTCCCAAAAAATAAAAAAGTAATTATTTGGATATACAAGCCAAAAAATCCAAAGTTTCTTTTTTAATTTCGAAAAACGGAATATATATGAAAGTACCTACCGTCTTCTATCTACATACCAAATTTCAGATCGATATCTCTTTTTGGGCCAAGTTATAGCGAAAAAACTGTTCAAAATTGATGACGTCAAAACTTCAAACTCATTTTGACAATTCTAGACCACGTAGGGCAAAACAAAGACAATTATTAGACTCCCCGTGACAGGCTACATCGAATCGATACCCGATTTATGCCAAAATATCAGTTTTGAAATTCGACCTAACTTGACCTGACCTTGATCTAACCTTCACCAGAACATAACCTAAACTGGCCTTAAGGCTGCCAGACCCACATAATCGCATTTGTCATGTAAAATGGACCATAAAGCATGTATCACACGACACTTTCATATTGTGACCCCCAGTGACCTGACTTCTGTGACCTGACCTGGTATCAGTGACCTCAGATAGCAAAGTATGTGTTTGACGAACAATTCACCATCGATGATTTTCAATAACTTACCAATTTATTCGATTTTACAACACATTTCTTGAAATGCCTGTGAACAGTGAAAATCCGACCTTTGACCTGACCTGTGACGTCATCGGTTGGACCGAGGTCAATGAAATTTGGTCACAAGGTAGTTCCCTGGTGGGGCTATCGAACGCCGTTTGAATTTCGAAAATCGGCCGGTAAATTTCCGAGATCTTAGGGGGTCAAAACGCCCCCTCCCCCTTATATATTTTGGCATCTAAAAATTAATTCCTGAAACATTAAAGGCCGCTAAAGTTTAAAAATTAACTATTTGAAGAACAAAGCTGTATAATTGTTTTCATTTAGTCCTTGATAAACGATAGTGTTTGGCGCAGTTGCGACATTAAAATGTTTTCAGTTGTGTTCAAGTTAGAAACTGCTGCGTACAAATCAAGCCAAAGCCCAATTATATTTTAGGAATGCTTTTGATTACATTGTTAGTGATCCTCATCTGTTGAGGAGAGCAGTAAAGAGAGCACCAATTAAATAAAAAAATTATCAACAAGATGTTTCAGACATCAACACAGGAGGGGTGTTCAGTGTTCACGGGCACCGCAAACTGCTGAGTGCGGTGTGTGCGGTGTGTGCAGCAGGCGTGGGGGTAGGGGATGGGTAGGCGAATCCGACGTCACGGCTGCGTGCGGTGGACGGTCCCCTGTGGCCGGACCCGACCGAGCCCGTGAACAGCCCTAGGCCTTTTACGTTGATATAAGTTGG